ACCAGTATGTGTTATGTGTTGTTGATCAACATAGCAGATGGCCGGAGGCAATTCCACTAAAGGCGATAACAGCGAAAGCTACATGTGACGCTTTCATTGATATTTTCATGCGAACAGGAGTTCCGAGAATGATAGCCATGGATAACGGAACGAAACTTTAAGGCTAAGCTAACACAAGAATTTTTAACTAGGTTAGGGGCCTCGCCAAAATTTTCTACGCCAGGGTATCCGCAGTCAAACGGGCTAGTGGAAAGGTGGATAGGAACAATGAAGTCAATGTTGCATCACGCGATAAATACTCAAGGAAGAAACTGGGATAAGCAGTTACCATATTTGTTATGGGCTTATAGGGAGATACCGAATTCAACTACCGGAGTCTCACCATTTTTGCTGATGTATGGTCGGGTGCCAGTGGGGCCACTGGCGATACTTAAATCAAGTTGGGTAGATGAGACGGTATTACCACAAGGAGTTGGGGAATCAGTTACTGAATATTTAATTTCTCTTCGAAATAGGTTACAGGAGGCAGAGAAATTCGCTAAAGAAAATTCGGAAGCTAAACAGCAGAAATATGTTCATCATCATAATTTGAGGTCTAAGGAAAATGAATTCGAGATAGGAGATGAGGTAGTAGTACTGATACCAACGTCAACAAATAAACTTTGCTCGAAATGGACAGGACCTGGAGAAATAGTTGCGAAAAAGTCTCCACATTCATATTTGGTAAAATTGCCAGATGAATCTGTTAGACATTTGCATCAAAATAAGTTACGGAAATATATACAGCCTATAAATGCAGTAGGGATAATCTATGAGGCTGACACAGAATTTGGGGAGGTGCAGCACGCGCCTATTCAAAGAAACCCTAAAGTAGACAAAACTTTTAGATAGGATCTGTGTTTCAGAGGAATGGAAACATTTAGATAGGTCACAAAGGGATCAGTTGAGCAGATTAATCAAATCTTTCCATGTAGTGTTTGACGGGGAGATTAAATGTGCGAAGGTAGGATCCCACAGTATCAGGTTAAAAACGGGAGTTGAAAGAAAGCAACCTCATGTTTATAAGGTACCTGAGGCGTTGAAGCCACAGGTGGAAAAGCAAATTGCTGATTTGTTAGAAAGAGGTTTAATTGAACCTTCCACAGCAGAGATTGCTTACCTTATTGTGTGTGTAGCGAAACGGGACGGAAGCGTACGTTTATGTTGGTATCATATATTTTTTTTTTTTTGTGTGTTTGTTTATTATTGTAACACTAGAAAGGATAATGTTCAATGCTAGTATGGCAAAAAGTATATAGATTTGTAATTTTCATTTATTATTTTGTAGATTGGGTTTACTCTAGAAAGATTGTGATTAGGGATATTAGTAAACGAATTATTCCTTAAAGAAGTTGTCAGTGAGTTGATATTGTAATGTTTCGTTTGTATCGCTGTAGAAATTTGGACATGTGCAGTTTTTATGCTTTATGTGTTTTAGATGTGTTCTTTTTTGTGTTCAGTGTTTATAACTGAAAGGATAATGTTCATGACCCTCTAGAAAAGATTTTTTTTATTATTTTTGTCTCTGATTGTTACTGTGATTCCTTGTGCTGTGTGATTCCCTGGAAAAGAGGGACTACCTGGTAAGTGCCAAAATAATATGGGTTTCAAATTTTTCGACTCAGTCGTAAATATTTACAAACCAGAGGGGAGGTGTGAAGTTCCTTCCCTGATGAAAGAGAAGAACGGAAGTGACTTACCCCGGAAAAACCGGTCGAGGCAGGCTGGTGGGGGGAAGAAAGACTGGACGGAGAGGGCACTGGGAGTTGGACCGGCGAGCATGCCGTGTGAGAACGTAGAGAAAAGAAATATGTTTTAATTTCTTTTGCGCGCCTTGTATATATATATTGTATATAGTTTATGTTACAGTGTACTCGTTGTGTAATCCATAGTGCAGTTTGTGTAATAAATTAGTGAAGAAAATGTCAAAGCGGACAACTGTTATTTTCCCACTATGGTAAGTTTACACCGAAGAACCCACCTCGTGTTTGAACGAGCGCGAGGCATGACACGTAGTATATTGGTCATTTCTCTTCAACAAATGAAATTTAGTACTTTTCCATTGGGCAAAATATTTAATCTGTTTGTTATTGATTAACAAACTAAGCTCGTAAAAGCAATACTTGCAATTCTGAAGAACATTGGTTTTTTACCTTTTAATCTGATTGATTTCAATCAAAATGTGTTTAATTCATGACGTTACTATTTGCAAGCATTAAATATTTTTATAAAATTACGTTATATATTTGTTCGCTTAACAAATGGACAGAAGATATATAATTTGTTTTATGATGTAAATTTATTTAGTTTTCTCTTTTGAAACTCTAAATTAATTTCTTGAGAGAAGAACATTTTATAATTAAGGAATTTTTGCCCATGGTCACCTCACGATCAATTTTTTCCTTTACTTAAAATTTATATATATATATATCTCATATTTGCTGTTTTGTTTGTGTTTCGAGTAGTTAGTAATTTTTTCATATTTAAAAATAGGTGTTACACCATTTTAGTAAGTTAAATGTTATTTGCTGAGACACTACTCAAAATATTTTGCTGTTATAACATTTTAAAAGTGTGTATTTCAAATAATTTTCATATCATTATTTACAAAGTTTACTGTCAGTTGTTATTAAATGAATTTAGTATTTGAAAATTGTTTGCTACCCAACGTTTTTATAGAAAAATGTGATTACAAATTTAAATTTTAATAAAATTATAAGAGTTTAATGAAATCAAGTATAAAGTAATCAGTTAGAGTAGACTGAAGGGTAACCCTTGTATTATCAAAGTTTTTGTTTCATTGATGGTAACCTAAGTAGTTACATGTTCCGTAAATATATTTTGACCCAGAATTGAGTGCTCCTTTGACTTTTCAGTGAAAATATATCGATGTGTACATAGACAAAGTCAAGGGAGTACGCAATGCCAAGTTTGTGCAATTCTCTGATGTTTTGAAGTGAAATTAGGTCGACGTGTACATGGATAAAAGGAGTGCGCAATCACTACTTTGCGCAATTCCGTGATGTTTTTTAAAGTGAAAATAGGTCAATGTGTACATGGATACCGAGTTTGTGCAATTCTTTGACTTGTTATTTTGTCTCTGTGTAGCGGCGATTTTTGGCGCTAAAATCGCCAATTTTCGCCGAGAGGTACAAGTAAATGTACTTTTACCGAGCAATATTTTTATTTTTTATTAATTACTATAATGTAATTTTATATGTATGTTTACTTGTTAACATCAATATATAAAGTCATTTAAAATATCAATTTTAATATAAAATTTTATTTCATACAATTTAGTTGTTAACATTCTTTCTTATATAACCGGAACGAACACTAGCGAATACATTTTTTTATTATTAAGACATTTTTTTGCAAATTAAGCTTATATTATTGCCTTTCACCCTCTTGAATTAATAGCTGATTTTACTAATAGTAATATAAAACTCACGTATTAATCTTATCTCTAAAATAAAAAGACTTTCTGATATTGCAATTAATTTTATATTTATTAATCAGTTTAAGGGGGAAAATGAAAGGCACTGCACCTTCGTGGGCTTAGAATATTTTTTTTTTTTACTTGAAATGCATGGTTACATGGGAAATATTGGAGCTGAGAGTGACGTCCGAAAGATAAGTAGGGATAAGCACAAGCCAAAGAGGTTTCGTAGGGAACAATTTGTAGATACTTCGAAAGAAACTATTCTATGCTGACCAATCGAATAACAGAATTTTCTTGAGAACTTGACGATCGTGTACTGCGTCAACACCTTCTTGAACATGGGCACCTGGAAGCCTGAATTTTGAACTTCGAATTTGTATTATTATCTGTTTCGCATTTTTTTAAACTTTTGTTTAAAATGTTTTTTGTTAATGAATTTTTGTCTAAAAAAACTAAACGATTTGTAAGACAGCAGTGGCAACACTGTACGGAATAAAAATATTTTATCTCCGGCGAGCGGCACTGCCTATCGGAAATTCTAAAGATATGCTGTGTTTGAATAATTTTAGCCCAAATGCTCTCGAAGCGTGTATGTAAATGAAAGATACGCTCCTTTGGTCGTATTATAAATTCTCAAAGGTTTCAGAATTTATTAATTATTTCCTATTTATTTATTTTCTATTTAACAGAGACATTCCTATCCAGAAAATGCACAGTTGCAGTTGCCCTTCACATTAGCCATCGAAAGAATAGGTTCCCTTGGAAGGACAAAAAACCGTTTTTTCTTATTTTTGTTAGATTTTTTCAAAAGTATCATGGGAAAAGGTGACGCAAAATAAAGAAGTGAACAAAAACGAGAAAAAACCTAATAGGCACTTCCTTTTTAGGTACTAATTCCAATTTTATAATCGGATCCCTCTTCATTTCCTAACAGGTCCAAAGCTCTTATAATTCGTTTTTAACGATACTGTTTCGAATCTTTTATAACTAATGATAGTGGTAGTTAGTTGTTTCAATGAAGATTCAGTCATGGCTAGTTGATATACTGCTTTGTTCCTGGCGTAGCTTTCTTGAAAACATTGGCCAAACATGCTTATCCAGTTTTCCACAATTACAACGCACATGGACGTATCCATAAGATTACAACAACTAAGAAAACGAAGCAATCAGTAACATGTCACCAGTTTAAAAGCAAGTGTAAGGAAAAATGAAGATTATGCTACCAGTGATTGCTAGATTAGAAATGGCTAAGTTACTCCAGTTCTCAGCAATGGACTTAGTACAGTTTTATTGCTATTGGTTAAAGTTTCGACTTAAATATAATTAGATAACACATTTCATTTTCACTTTTTCTGTTATAGAAGTGCATGCGTCAGTAACGTTCTGCAAGAAGAATATGTAATGGAATAATTTTTAAATGACACCACACCAAAAGGATTTATTCTAAGCATATTCATGTATTTATATATTTCGCAATAAACTACCATGATTCTACTTTTTTTTTTCAAAGAATCCATACCTGCAGGTATAATTCTCACGAAACACGGCTCTTTTTGTTCAGCCACTGAATTCCTCCCCCAGCATAGCAGTGATCCGTAATCTCCCATTGTTTTCGGTGTGTAGGTGATTACACTCAAAGGGCCATTGGATTTGAAGTTGTGCAGCTCTGTGCTCTCAATGGAATTGTTCAGAGTCCAGCGGAATGTGACATCAGATGGATCGGAATCTACTTCACAGCTTATGTTGACAGTTTCCTCTCTCGCAACTCCATACAAATCTCGTTGACCTGATTTGCAAGTAGGAGCATCTGAAACGAAGAAGTCAAATCTAATTACAACTGCGTGATTTATAAAGGGATAGTGCACTAATATCACAGCGCTTTCGAAGCATTTACATGTCAGTATGCATTGTTAACAATTCTGTGAATAGCATATATGTCATTTGCGTTTGTATAGTAAAATTAGAATTTATTAATAATTCATAATCATCGTCTTTAACCCCCCTTGAACTATGACAATATTTTATAGAATAAATGGATAAAGTTAATGACAGATAAATATTCATTTAAACTATGACTGAAGTAACGGAATGAGGACCAAATATCTTTTCATTTCCTTTCGGAAATTTGGAGTGGCACTAATAAACAATGTGCAACTGTACAACTAATTAATGTGCTTTTGTTAAGGTTTTTATATTGATTTAGCAATAGTACATTCTTTCTAGGGAAAAAGAAAGAAAACTATTTTCCTAAGAAACATAAAGTATTAAATAAATCTATAGAAATGCCAAAGAAAGAGGTTTATATTGAAATAAGACTATAAATACATATAAATTCCACATAACTATCTTTCTTATTAATTGAAGATGCTTTAAATACATACCAAAAATAGTAATTGTAAGCCCTATACTTTTGCAATAACAAGTTGAGCAAACATTGAAGACAAACTAAAGATCATATGTTCTACTACACCAGTAAATACCAGTATTCTAACGACGTGTTATGCATTTGAAACAATGTGTTGACATAAACATCAAGGAGATTTAATAACTTCATGTAATATAATATCTTCAAATAACAACTGATTTTATTTTCCACGAAATAATTTCAACGGAAACAGTCTTTGACCATATTAACTTTCCGTCTTCGAGATCGATCCACTGGAATGTTCAGCCTCTCTAAGCTTTTTTAACATTTTTCTTAGGTTGAATAATTTATGGATAGTTTTCACATATATACTTTATGGATATTGTCCAAATACCTGCAATGAACAAATTGCTCTTAATATTAGAAACTGAGACTGACAAAGTATAAGATGTTACATTAAGCAACAATTGTCCAACAGATCAATAGCTATAAATAAATTAAAATTTAAAATGATACTTTAATTACTTTTAAATGTTAATTACTTAATTACTTTCAAATGGTAATATGCTGAGTATATTTATTATTTTCTAACAGCCATCCAATCGCAACATACATTTAACCAATAGCTAGGCATAACAGCCTTACACTGCACAGTAACCTTTTAGTTGCTGTACAATAAGTATAAATACCTTGCGAAATCAGATGTACAGTCTACAGTACTTAAATAGTACGAATTTCAAATACGTAAGATAGGAAAGCTCTTCATAAATTACAAACCTTCTTACGAGAGGAAGATACTAAATTAGCTATCTCTGCATAAATTTTTACAGATAGACCAACCGGTTAATAATTGCAAACACCTTCGTGTGAGATGGAGATCTTATATCTCAGTCCAATAATAATTAGTTGATTAAATTTAATGATTAACATTTCACTCACTTTCAACTAATTATAAACGCATAGAAAGATACTCAAAGATCCATGCTTTGGTATTACCAAAGAATCAAGTTCAAAGATATCGGCTGTAATTATCTATGCAGCAAATAGCTCGATTAATCCATTACTCGGCAAATTAGACTTCTGAAAAGCCATTTATAATTCATGCTTAAATATAATATTGAAAATATGTTTAAAATTTCAATTTTAAAACGTACGGTACCTGAATTATATGCAGCATATAAATTCTAAACTTGATTATTTTATTTAAACTTTAATAAGAATAATTATTTTATTTATAAAAGCTTCTTCATGAGAGTAATTGGCATGGCACTTTTTTTCCGGAGTCCGAGATCCCGTTTTTTCCATAATAAAAGGGAAAGGAGAATGTGTTGTCATACATTAAGAAGTTTGCAAAGTGAACTATTCCTGGCGCAAACTGGAAAACTTGCGCCAAGATAAATTTTTGAATTTCTCTGAAAATTTCACAACAAATTTTACAAAATTTAATATCTAGGCATAATTTGAGTGGTAGAATTGAAATATGGAAAAAAATTGGTATGTGATTTCAGAAAAAGTCTAATTTTTGTGTCAAAAATACCTATGTTAGAACAATGTTATATATAAATCTAATATATATTCTAAGTCGCGCTTTCGAGACATGTGAAACGCAATTTGAATTTTGTCAATTGGCCTAGTATAACGGGAGATATAGAACTGTCCTTTTTTTTTTCTCAGTGTACCTACCCACTTCATATAGCATTTGACTTTTCACCTCTTCAACACTGCGAAGACACACGGTTAATGCAGTATCCCAACAAATATAGAAAATAATTATGTCACATATATACAATCAGGCGAAAAAATAAAAACTTTCATCAACAGCAACAGAGCAAGAAATGCCAGATATTACTGGCGCATACAGGTTGTGATTGGAAACTTGCATAAGCAGAGCTTTTCTTCTAACGACTTCTTTACCCGAATATACATACGAGGCACTATCTGTTTATAGTAAGCTCTTATATATCCTGTATCACGGTTGCCATTCGCAAAAGAATAATCCATTTCGAAGATTGTGGAAGATTTCGATTCGAGAATGCAATAGCCAGACTATTTTCCAAATATATTTATAAAATGTAAAAATTTTCTTTTTTAACATTTTATATATACGTATTCTGCACGATTTCGGAATTTTTTTAAAAATTATTTATTAAACCTGAGTTTTGATTTTTCCCCTTCCAAAATTGTATAAACTCAATGGTTGAAATTTCAGTGGAAATACTTATGTAGTTTCTAATTACATAAAACTAATTAGATGATTACTCAATTAGAGAGAAAATGTGACAAATTAGGCGTAATTACAAAAGTGTTTTGCAGCCGCCTCTAAGGGTAAGAAAGAGATTAAGCGACAGATATTTTTCTCAAAATGTATAATTTATAAATATTTACATTAAAATTTAGGATGATAAATTCCACTTAGTGCTGAAGAAATCCTCTGTTATACATAGCTCCTTGATATTTGACTTGCAGACTTGCATTTAAAAAGCAATTACCGAAATGATAAATGTATGTCTTAGTTGGTGGCTAACGAACTCAACATGTTATTTTTGATTAGACAAGAAAAAAAATCACTGTCCGTAGTTTTTCTTTAATGCTGCGGAAAATAAGAAAAGATATTTGTACTCTGTAGAGAGTCTTCTGAATGCGAAGAGTCTGTAATCTATAGAGACAACATAGAACTGAAGCTTGCTATGAGCACTGCTGATAAAGGTTGACAGCTACAAGAGCCATAGTTCATTATTGGATTTGAGGATGAGAAGAGCAATTTAATACTTCTCTATAAAAGTTTTGGCTAAACTCATGAAACATATCTAGTCTAACAGCTATATAGCTCAATGAACGTCACTTCTGAAGATCAATGTTAAAACAATTTTGCCATTATTTTTGTTCTTTAACCGAGAGATATGTCTTTCGTGTGAATTGCTAGTGATTTGGAAGCAAATTATGCCTTCTTAGAACAGAAAGAGATGCGTGTTATGTACAGTTTTAGCGTGTTTGAAGAAACTAAGTAACAGTAACTTAGTATATGGAACATTTTATTTATATAGTATAACAAACCTACTATATAATCATTAATAAAATAAACGTTGTAATACATTTTTCTGTGAGAAGGCATGAACATTGTATTATTTTCGATGTTTCAATAGATTCAGCTTTTTAGAAATAAAACTTTTATTTCATTCTTGTTGTAAATTGATTATTGGAATATTTCTGTAGTATTTATTATCTGTTTGACATTAGATTTCAAGAAATGTACCTGAAAATAAAATCTCATAATTTCTGTTATTTCGTTTCATTTTAGATTTAATTAATTAACTCATACATTTTCCTCATTTTTCATTATCTATCTTCATAATTTATAATAAAACTGATTAATTTATTGTTTATGGCAATTAAAACTGCACGTTTTGGATTTTCTATTTAAATTGCATAGTTTAAAGAAAAAATAAATAAAATATATATTTTATGTATTTTAACATTACCATATACACTGAAGAGTCAAAACATTATTAATATCTGCTCAATAACACGCTGCGCGACCTTTGGCCTACAAAACTCATACAACTCGCTTTAGCATGGATGCCACAAGTGCTTGGTAGATGACTGGCGACAGGTTGTTTCAAATGTCTATGCAGCGGTCATGCAAATTTGACATATTCCGAGATGGTGGCGTTCGAGCTCTGCGCTACCGCTACATGACATCGCAAATGTGCTCTTTCAGGTTAAGATTCGGCTAATCAGGTGACGCAGTTTAGTTTAGATAGTCCCCAGTTTTCATGGTCTGGTGTATCACAACTGAGGGTTTCAGAGCCGCATATGAGACTGTCCACCAAACCATAATATAGCCACCACCAACCTGCGTATGACGTGCTGTACAGAGGGGGGAGCAAATGTTCGCATGGAACACGTCTTATCATGACATGATTATAGACCCTAACACGACTACCAGCGTACCTATCAGCGTACCCTGGCACGACTAGCAATGAGAAATCGTAATTCATCCGACAAGTCAACTGTCTTCCACTTATCCATGATCCAGACTCGATGTTCCCGAGCCCACTACGCGCGTAGGCCCACTGCATTAATCCAAACTTAATTACCAGTGTTCAATGATGAGTTCAGTTAAGCATTTTGTAATTTTTGATCAGTTTAAAATTAAATTATATAATAAATTATTAGTAATAATTAAAAATAACATTTACAATATTCGTGTGTAAGAATTTTATCACATCATAGATTCTCAATATGTTAGCAACTAGTTAATTAGATATTTAATTCAAGTGAGACTTTACATGTCATTATAATTATATTACTATTTTTGCTTTCGTTTAACCACAGTGAGTTCAAGTTCGGATTGGGTAATGATTTTAGAACTAGAACCAGATCATTCTATGGCCAGGACATAACCTTAATCGAGGTATTCCGACATGGTGACGTTTGAGCTC